CACTAGCCAGGTTGGTCACTCGGCTTGTGAGCACGACTGTGAGATCGAGACCTAGATCTAGGTCTATGTTGTTGAGGGCGACCAACGAGTTTGGTGACTTCATTCAGTTGGAGGGATAACTCAGAAAATTGAGCTTTCATTGCATTGAACTCGACCTCCAGGTTAGACTGCGAAGTGGAGTGTTGCTGAACGTTAGAGACCACGGGTTGTCTGCAGGTTTCATGGACGCGGTCAGCCACCTCGGCTAGCTTTGCTAAGGAAGAATCCTGCTCGATGACAGAAATGACTTTACGGACTTCGATGGGCAGGCTTTGTCGCCAAAGTACTTTCACAACCGCGTCGTTGACCGGATGCTTACCTTGCATGTGCACCATGTAGCGGAGATGTTGCGACGGTGTTTTATCGCCGACGTCAACACCTGATTTCGCAGATTCTGCTCATCGCTGGAAGCGGTACGAGAAATAATAGCTGCTTTGAGAGAATCGTATGGATCGGTGTACGGTCGGGTGTATATTAAATCAGAGACTTCTCGGGCAACGAAGTCTGGTAAGCATCCTACCAAATACTTGTATCTGCCGCTCTGCGAGGTAATGCGACGCGATTCGAAAATGGCCTCAAGTTGGGCGAACCATAGCCTCGGATCACGTGCACCGAATTCAGGCAACTTAACGTAAACAACGTTGTCTGTTCCGGGTGTCTGTGTCTGTTCAGAAGCCATGCTGACGTGGAAAATAAGTATAATAAATCACGGGAGTACTGCAGAGAAGAAAACAAGGAATGATTCGGGCTCACCAATTATCTAGCGGACTAGGACCTTATCAGCGTGTTCGGATAAATTAACAGGCAAAGTAACCAATGCAAAATCACGAAATCACAATAGGAAAAGAGTGAGTATTCAACTGGGGACTCACGAATGTGTAGATCTAATGGCCCATTACACCGATCAAAGTGCAGTAACTGGCTGTGAAAGGAAATATTCACTCGTCGAAATTTCCCACAGATTATTCCGCGTGAGTGATATATTCCACGGTAGGAAAAGTATTCACGGCTAAAAAAATGTCACAGGTATTTATTGTGACGTTCAACAGTTGACACAGACACGGAGATTTGGTCTCACTGGTTCAGCGGTCAACAAACAGGTCAACGGAGCGTAAATACGCTCGTTCAGCAAGAAGTCAGCAGGTCGCGCCGGAAAATTGTGTATTCGTAACATTAAAACAAACGTCATGATACAATGTGAACGACAGTTACAAAGTGTGGTTCAAGTTCAGGAAGAATGGTAA